TTGGATTGTTGTGCTGCCTTCCAGTGCTTCTATTTTCTTCAACAAAAGACTTAGTTCTGCAGCAACTTTTGCAGCATTGCTTACCATGGGATCGTTACCTGTGGTTTTAGGGTAACATATCTGTTTCCTTTGAGACCACGAAGGGTCACATCACCCTGACACAAGGGTGACCATGGTCACCACGTCCAAAGGGCCATCCCAAAGTGAAACAGAGAGAAAACATTTATGTTTTCAACAAAAATATGTTTTCAACCACCATAAACAGCTGGTGGGAGCAGAAATTCTTCAGTGAGATACAAAGGCTGACATGAAACCCAGGTTTATGTTGCACCTCTTTCTCTCAAGAGAAGTTGTGACTTTTCGATCCAGGCATTTTATTTTGGAAGCACGCAAAACGTTTTTTTTTAATGGAGCCATGGAAGCTGAATGATGCTTGCCCTGTTGAAAACTATGTAGAACTACTAAGAAACTAAAACCTTCCAAGGCCATTAGACCTTGACCTTAAGTCTTAAGAGGCAGGCAGGAAGATTAGCTAAAGAATACATTCTCAGACAAATGTTTCATGATTACTATGATCTATCTTATAAAAACCTATCTTTAGTCAGAAATCACGTGGTGAGGACACATCTAAAAGCTAAGATGTGTGTGTGCCCTGTGTTCTCTGATCCAAGTTTGACAAACTAAGAACTTGAAGTTTCAGTTTTACTTGGAAGTTAAGACACTACCAATATGTGCTGTTCAAGTTTCCCCTGGAACAAAGACTCTAATTTATAGCTAATACTGAGTAAAGTTGCATCAGCTCAGCAGTTACAGAACAGACTATTTAAGTCAGGTCAGATTCTCAAAATTTCCCCCCACAAAATCAATTTTTCAAATAGGAACCCTGTACTGATACAACTGTTCATTTTACAAGAAAAAGGTAGACGTTTTATTTAAATGCTCATAGCTAACCTAAAGACCTCACAAATTTAAAACAATCCCACTGCAGTCTTAACTGACGTCCTCAATTTTCCTTCTTAGACAGCCAAATGAACTAAGGGGATACTCCCACCCCAGCACAGTGGGACTACCTGTGGCTCTCCCACTTCCCTCCCCCAAAGGAACTCTCAAAGGATATCTCTGTGGTACTGGCACTGATGTGTGCTCTGCATGTGGCACTGGGCAGCAGCACAAACAAGCTCTTCATTGCCTTCATCAGAGATCATGAAGATTTCTTTGGGGACCCCACAATCCAACAAAATGGTCATTTTCTTCTCCCTCATCTGTAGGGACCTGCCTTTTCCCCGAGACTGCAATTTCCTCTAAGATAGAGAAGCCAACTTGTTTACTACCCCCTTTCCATCAGCCTTGATTGGGAAAGAGGAAGAAGGATGTAGTATTGGATTTAATTACAATTCACTGGCAAAAAAGGTGTGAAAAGGGAAAATGTTGTTGCCTTGTACTGAAGGTAAGCAGAAGTCAGAAGTATCCAAGAGATACTTGAAGGGACACAAAGCCTTTTCAAGAAGTACCTTGAGTGGACACTACCCACCATGTGCAAACCCTGCTCCTTACCTCTACAGGTGTGAACTGCCATCCCCCTTTCTTGCTCTTTGCTTCTCACTGACTCTCCCTCCACATGTGCTTGACAAATTCCTGTCATCAGCCAGAACTGGTTAGAATAGTGAAACAGGAGGCTAGGCCCAAAAGAGTTAACTAAGAAATTTGGGCCTGCTAACAAGTTACCAACATCCAAGACGATCTGTGCTCGTTCTGTTCTACTTACTGGACCAAAGCTTAAGAGAATAGTACAGGAACATGTAATAGGCCTAGAAGCAATAAATTAGAAATACAGCAGGATCAGGTAGACATTTGAATAGGAGAAATAGGCCTGGAGCCAGGGCTTTTTCCAAGCTTCAGTGAGTGGGTCAAGAACAATAGAAGAGAAGAAGGGTCAAGCTGAAGAAGATGAGTTAGAGACCCCTGCCCTATGGAGGAAGATGGGAACGACCCCTCGAAATGGGGTGCCAAGAGAAGCACCGCCCCAAGCTCTGCCTATACTCCGCCTGTTATTAATATGCATAGATAGATGTTGTAATCACTTGAATATGCATTTAATCACATCTGAAGATTGTATAAAAATGCTGATTTTGTGTGAAGCCTTTGAGCAAGTTTGTCCAGTGCGAGCTGGCTTGCTCCCAACGTTGAATAAACAAATACCTTGCTGCTTAAAGATAAAAAAGTCTCTGAGCAGTTACTTAGACCAATTTTTCGGATTCAATAGAACAAAAAAACTCCCCAGCACTCTGGAAGAGCATTTATCAACTACAAAGCAAAATAAATATCACTTATTAATTAGCCTTGTTTTTAACTCCCTTTTTGATGCATTTTCAGACTGGCTGAGAAGAAACTCCAGATAGGGCTTATGCAGAACTCAGTGCAGCTTTTATATACACCAGGAGGCACTGCCGCATAGTCCAGGTCTAATGTAATTCACAGGGATCCATCCATATGCTGAGATTGAGGGAAGTTCAGTTTTCAAGGGTCCCTTTGTTCCTTCTGTGATTACCCAGCTCATGTACTCCTCAACCATTCAATTGAACCACATATTTCAATTCCATCCCTAAGTTACATTCTTGGCTTTCCATTTCAATTTCCTCAGGGCAAATAAAACTGATGGAAAGCTTTTTGACAAAGGTATGGTTACTTCATCCAGTAGCCTGAGACGACTCCAAATCTGGATATGACATTTAATGTTTCTGGGACAGAGGCTCTTAAGTCTTTTCACAGGAGCAGAGTATCATCTGCATAGATTAGTAACTTCTGTGTCTTAAGTTGCATATACTTTACATACTCTTTAAGTTTTCATAGATATTGCTGATAATTTAATACTACAGGGGCACCTCAAACATTTTTCATCACAAAGCAGTGGAAAGGATAACTGTGAAAGCAAGAGGCAGAACATCGTATGCACTTATTTGCTTCAGCAAAAGCTACAGCAGTGAGACACTGCTCTGAGGGCAAACTGCCCAAACCCTCCTCTACTTAATCACAGAAACCTGAAGAACCAAAGCTGCTGCTCATAATCAGCTTTTAGGCAACTAAGATTTTATTCAGTTCAGCTGCTGTGCTTCTGAGCACTGTCCTCTCACTGTTCCAGAGCTTATGGACAGGACCTTTCCAGCAAGGACAAATGCTGAGTGCTCCATGACCATGGCTGTACTAAGGGAGAACTGCTATGCAGCCAGAGTTGAGGCTCAGCAACATAACAAGGTGTGCAGAGAATAAAGGCAGTGAAAAGCCAACTGAATTTTTCAGAGACAAAAGGCAGTTCAGTCACACTTGTTACAAGTATGTGTGATCTCACAGCAACAGAATCACTTGAGAACTGCTGCATTTCAAGCAGTTGCATGGAGCTCCTTACAGAAGGCCTCATGTGATGAACTTTATTCCTGTGTTTGTTAATGAGGAGCAGAATCACCAATTTGGTAGTAGTTACTCCAGTATTTACAAGCTCTTTATGACGTGTCCTTTTGTAGTCAGAAAAAAAAAAAAATCTGCATTAACAAGTTCTGTTTGTGGCTGCAAAAAGTATGTAATGTACACACAAAACATATAAAATGTTTTTAAACTCAAGGAGGGTAGATTTGGATTACACGTTAGGAAGAAATTCTTTATAGTGAGGGTGGGGAGGCACGGGAACAAGTTGCCCAGAGAAGTTGTGGATGCCCCACCCCTGCTAGTGTTCAAGGCTAGGTTGGATGGGACTTTGAGCAACCTGGTCTAGTGGAAGGTGTCCCTGTCCACAAGAGGGAAGCTGGAACTGGATGATCTTTAAGGTTCTTTCCAACCCAAACCATTCTATGATTCTATGAAATATATAAATGTACAGTGTCACACACACCCCCAATTCCCCATGAGCAACTCATAAACTCTTTCTTTAACTCCTCTGTTTTTTAAAACACCATTCTTAAAAACAATGATTATAAACTTCCATCTAGGAAAGAACCCTTTGCTCAGAGAGGGATGAAAGGGCTCCTTTTTACTTTCAGACAAGCACAGGATGAAACAAATACACCACGACGTGATCCACTCAAGAGCATAATTCAAGCACTGCTGGATCAGAAGTTTTTACAGGTAACACACAGGAAAACAAAACCACAGTTTGCATGTGCACATCTGTCTATATATTTATGGAGGAAAAATATAAACACCATCAGTCCATGTTCTCACCTGGTCTTACACACCACAGACAGGACATCATGAATTCACATAACATTTCTTACCCGGGTGGATAAACCACTTTTCCAGATTGCCTGCTTTGCACTTTAGGACTGTAATTATGTAACGAAACCCTCTGAATACTGTGCTGTTTTTGTGGTTATTAATCATTCTGCTTCTGTTTCAAATATGTGCTCTAGATATGCTGCATTATGTTACAAACATAATGTAACAAGACAAAACACATCTGAATCTTAAGGACATTTCAATGTAATTTACTCTTTCAATTTGTATTTTTGCAAGCTCAAACATATAAAAAAATATATAAAAAAATAAAAAGCTGTCCATATAGCTGCTGATACAAGGTAACCATATAGCTGCTGACCTTTGCAACTGTAAACAAAAGACAGCTTTTAAACAGTAAACAACTTTGCAAATATGAAACCTGTTTTGCCAGTGCTTGGAATAGTCAGCATTTAAGATGACAGACTCTACATAGAAATCAGTTCTCACAGAAACACAAATTTCTAGATGTGCTCAGAGAGAATGCAGGATTTCTGTGACCTCAGACCATAGAAACTATTTATTTAAAAAAACGTACTGTGTTAAAACTGAATTAATAAATAAAAAAACCAAACCAAAAAAGTGGGAAACTCCACCACATTAGGCCCTATTCTAGAATAAAATTCCCTTTAAAAGCACCACCTTGAAAATAATACAAAGCTTCCTTGACTTCATAAGGACTTCACAGAGGCCCACAAGTCCAAATTAGAAGACACATTGAGTATTTTAAGCCAAAATAAGTTAAATATCTAGCTTCCTTTTTATTAGGCAGCAATGCTCTAAATTCAGTTGCCTTGAACATGTTCATATACACATCCTATACTCTAAATCAATATTAATTTATCATATATTCCTTACAAAGAGCTAACAGGCACCAGGTGGACTAGATTTTCTTTAATTTAGCCACGTACATTGGACCCCACGCTCTCCCTCTCTCTGGAAGCACCAGAAGTTCATGCTGCTGCAAGCCATCAAGAAAAGTGAATTCCTGAGAAACAGCTCTGCCCATTTCACTTATATCCAGAGGCATAACATTGCTGCAGGAGTTTAGGATGAGGTTTATCACATCACTGTTTTCTGCCTTTGAGAGAGTGCACGTAGAATACACCAAGGATCCACCAGGACGCAGTGCTTTAATAGCAGACCTGAAAATAGCAAAAAAAAAAAAGAAAAAAGGGAAAAAAGTCAACATAAAAGTGACATTCTGGTGTGGGAGAACATGTAAGGACTTATAAATCTAGAGTGTAAATAAATGTGACAAAAATAACTCTATGAAAATGTCTTAACAGCATATAATTGTACAGGAAACTACAATTTTGTTTTCTCATTTATTATTGTACTCTCAGTTAACTGAAGGTATTTTTTACACAGCAGTGACAACTATAAAGCAGCATCCATTCAGAGCTGCAGAATGACAGCAGCTTTCAGACAATCACATGCTGTGAAAATGCTGCAACTGTGCATACAGAATGCACGTGTTGGCTGGATCCTGAGCTGGCTGCTTGCATGAACAAATAACAGAATGTACACTTGCACTAATGGCCTGAACTAATTACTGGGTTGTAATTTTAGAAACATTTCTGCAAATTCTGCAACTTATTTATCAGGTAAGAGGACTTGGGGGTTTCCCTGAGTCACTACTTTTCAACCTGATTTCCTAAGGATCATATGTTCTTTATATGCCCTTCACCTACTGACCTGTTGACAAATTTTGACTCAACAAAGGCAAAATAGTGGCTTAAAGCCTGAAAGCTTTATAATGAGTGGTGGGTGAAGGGAACAGAGGTTCTTTATCACTTTACCACTGAAACTGAGTTTAAACAAACTGCTTACTTTGCATTAAAGCAGATCTGCAAAGTCCTTATTTTAGCAACATAAAATATAACCTGTGAGAGTTAGAAGTGATATTCAAGCCATATTCACCTACTGCAAATTAAGAAAGTAAGGAGAAAAATCCAAAATCTTGCACCACAGAAGAGCATTCTTCAAATCTAATATCACCATATTACTAAAAGAGAAAGCTACAATAAAGGTTCATTTGCTATTAAATCCCATTAAATTATACATTTTGGAGCCTTGAAGGACATATGGCTCAAAGACTGAATTGTAAGCTAATATTCAAGCAGATACTACTGGACTGAAGCAAATACCACATTAAAATACAATTGCTCCTTCTATTTGTTTAAAAACGAGAATCTGAACAAGTGAATGATGTTACTTAGCTTATGAATATCAGAGAGTCAACAAAGGTAAGGGCTGAGAGGACTGCAAGTGAGTCACTGGGAATTTAGGAGGTGCAGGAGGTGCAGGGATACTGGAAGCATGGATCACAATGACATAGTCACACTGTATGGAAAGACACTGAATAATCACAGATTTGTAGATATCACTGACAATTCTGTGTTCATACTCATACCCCAGAAAAAAAATGTACTGGGAAAAAATAAAAATAAGAAAAACAAAAACAAACAAACAAAAAACAACAAACTCTTCAAACTAGATGAGGTGAGCAGCCTCCAAATGCAGAAAGTCTGATTCCAAGCCCAGACAAACAAATACAATGCCACTGAAATAGCATTTCCTCCAGAGACAAGCTGAGAACTTCCTAAAGGTGATTTCTGAACAAAAGCAGTTGAGAAAGGAAAGAAGAAAATATAAGGGGGAAAACATAATCCCTTTTAACAGAACTGGGACTTTTCAGGAAAAGAATCAATAAAGAAAAGCTTCATCACAAGCAGGATCAAAGCCAATCAGAGATCAAAGCTGCACTGAAAGTCCTGTCCGAAATAGGAAGGAACCACCAGGATGAATTACTGTTTCAGACAGGTGAAAACTAAATCTGCTTCTCTTGGGAGTATACACATCACCTCATTTATTTTATGAGTCTTGATTATGTCAATCAGCAAGCCAAGTATATACTTTACTGAAGTTTATGCTTTTCCAGTTTTAGTAAAAGAACAGAGCTCTCTCAACTGATGATGCTGTAAGAAAAATAAGTGTTTAATGCCTCTGTTGTATCAGTAAAAAGATGGAGAGTGAGCAGATGGCTGGCACATTTAGCCTGAGTGAGTAAGCTGTTCAAGTTCAGTCTGTTATAGGTAAAAAACAGGTTACACTGCACTTAGGTAGTCTAAATATTTTCAATTTAACTGGGCCTAGTGGACTCATTCCAGGATACTTTGAAAATTAGTAAGACATATCACAAAACTGCAAGCTTATCTCACACCTCTGAGTAGCTTTTGAAAGCCTGCAAAATGTTTAAGAATGTTTCTGTCACAGACAGGTATAGCACAACATTTACACTGCCACCTTGAGACAGCAAAAGAGAGCAGCTGTAATCCTAATGTCCTCATGCCTGTTCTGGGAAATCTAAAAGCATTTTTTCACTCATGTAACAGATCCTACTTTCTGGCTTTCACATCAGAACTCAAAGAGAACAGGGCTGAAGTCTAAATGGGCTCTCATAAAGTTAAGCTGATCTTATTATTATCAGAATCCAGTTAGATAACTCATTTTTGACAAAATTTTCCCCTCCAGCTACACCTTTTCCATGTGTGCAGCAGTGCCAAGCCATGAGAGGGTATCTAGAAATGCCTGAAAATGTTTTGACCTGACAATCAAGATATACTTTTAGCACAACTGATAATTTTACTCACAGAAGCAGATAATGGCACTCCTTTCCTACCTATAAGGCAGGTACTATATAAGCATTTAGACAAGTGAGAAAATACTTTTACCATATATATAAGTAGTTGAAGCTACTGCTTACAGGATTAAAAGCCTGGAGACGTGGTAAGTGTCCTTTACTTACCATACAGAAAGTAACATATAGCCATATTTTCAAAGGCACCATGTTCCTACAACTGAGTCCACCAGAGCAGCACAGGCCTCTGAATGCAAGCTTGAAAATCTCACATCAAAACTTGTCTAAGCCTCCTCATCCTGTGAATCTGCACTGGCACATGACCCAAAAAGGTTGGCCTGCTCACTGCAGGTGTCTTTATTTTGAACCTAAATCATGAATTAAAGTATCTGAGGAGAATTACTTTCCACTGCAAGGTTAATCAATGTATCTATCCATCTTGTCAAGTCCAGCAAAACTTGTTTCAGTGCCTGTGCTCAAAGTCAGCCCTGATTAAGCCATACTTAGCTTTTGATAAACCTGCACTGAGCTGCAAAATTCAAAGAAGTGCCAGGCTGAAAGTCACAGAGTGAGACTCCACTGGGTGAGCAGATTCAGGGAGTTTGGTCCTCTCCTCATCAGCATGACAGAGAATTCAGTCATAAGGGAATTTGTCCAAATAAATTTAAGGAACCAGCCTTCCTCTCCAATCAGTGGAGAGAAACAAGCGCATCCAAGGGATAGGTTGGACATGAAACAGAACCCACCACTGCTACTACAACTCCACCATCTAAGAATGTAAGATTCCTCTTTCACTGGGAATCTTGATTATGCCCCAAATCCTTACTTAAAGCGCAATTCTTAGTTTAAGAAATTTAGTACCTGCTATAGGGTACTTTGTAACTTCCAAAACCAGGTTTCAAATCTAGCATGATTAAAAAAGATGCCAGGGCAAATGACCCTGAAGTACTTTTTCACTTTCCTCCTATTATAATACCTTGTTTAAAAGTAAAACACATTAACTAAAGGTAGTTAATCTGCAGTTATTTTTCTCTTACTAGTACAGATGACATTCATGTTCATTAAATAACTAAAACTTTCAGCTTAAATATAGATGATACTTAACTTCATAATTTTATTTCAGGTACGCATATTTACTGAAATGAATTTTACATGTTTACAGGCACTAATACTGCAAGGTTTCAAGCTTCATATGGAGAAACATGAGAACACACATTAAAAGCACTGGAAACTTTTCCTGGAACCTCATGACTTGTTCACCTTTCCCTACAACCATTTTTGATTTAGTCAACTGTTTTCTGGGGTGCTGAACACAACTTTAGTACATACCAGCATATCGCAACTTAGGCTTTAGTGATAGCAAAGAGTCTGAAATTTTAATGACATTTTCTAATCAACAGTTTGGAATTACAATAGCTGGAAACCTGCATGATAAGAGTGAGACTCACTGGCACATCATTCTGCAAAAACTTGTTGATGCTTCTCCATACTTGCTTTGCACTCCTCCCATTATCAATTTATAGCCACCAAATTCACCTTTAAATCTTTCCAGCACTTCAGCAGAAGACCCATCTGTAATTCAAACAAAAACGGGGGCTGATGTCCATCCCATTCAGGAAGTTCTGTGAAACAAGTTAACAGGTGCAGATTGCTCTCCTCCTCATTCTAAATGAGGTTTTACAACAATAAAACCAAACAGATAAACAAATAACCCCCCAAAGTATTAGCAATACATTGTGGTTTTGCAGGGTGTGTCTCTGGGTACAAGTTCAATGGCAGATATTGTACTGTGGAGGTGAGAGGTACAAAAGATGGATTAATCTATCCTAACCCCCTGTATTACAAGAGTAACAGATAAGACTTTTAAAAGAAACACATTAATTTAAAGCTTTTTGTTTGTTTGTTTATTTCTCAAGATTTACTAAATTAGGGAAAACAGAACAGTATTATTGTTTAATATCTCAGGGAAAAAAAGACCATGCTAGAGCCAGAATTCTAAGTCCAGAAAACTCTCTTATGCCACTAAAATGTAGTTAGCCAGAACCTAAAAAGAGGATTTTTCCCACTTACAGAAAATTAGATATGAGTGGCTGACTTTTTTCATTCTAAAAGTCTTGGTGTTTCAAACACCCTTGTAAAAATGGGCAGAAAAATACATATATTTCATACTATAGCTACCACCTACTAGTGGTAGCTACTCGTCCTGGGTTTATGTTGCATGCCATTGGAAGGATCAGTATTAATTATGTTAATCACTCAACTATTTTCAGTATTAAAGTAAAAAGATTACATATTTTTTAGGGCAATTTTAAAATATTACAACACTTCAACAGTGCCATCTTTTGGCAGCTAAGATGTATTTCTGCTCAATATGCCAGATAATGTCTTATCAGAATAAAAAATGCCAACCTTTTTAGAAGCGATTTGAGAACAAATGCATCTCAAGGACACAATCTTGCCATGTGCTCTGGGATGTCCCTTCCAACCTTATCTGTTCTGTAA